GTCCGCCACTCCCGTCGAAAGCGTCGTCACCAAAAACGACGCGCTGCCGACGACCTAGAACTCCTGTCCGCCACAGTCAACATGACGGACAAGGGTAAGGCGGTGCCCTCCGACTCTCCAGATTCGGACTCCGTCCTAAGGGCCTTCCCTCTGCTTCTGTTGTAATTTAGATTGATTTAGTTTGTAATAAGCTTTCTTATAAATACAAACAAAATCCCCCATTTTCGGGAAAATCAGAAATTTACACCTACAGAAGATGGCGACCACAGGAGGGCATATACCAGCGTACCCGTAGCCGTAAGGGGGCGAGCATTGGGTTTGATTATTCCACCCTAGCACCCTCCTCCCACGGCGAAGACGAGGCTCATTCGGCGGCAGCCATGTCCCAGACCTCACACTCGAGTCATGAAGTACCTGCGAGGGTACACATGACGGAACTCACCCATGAGCAGACAATGGTTCAAAAGCTGGAGGAACAACAGGCGACCATCGACTCTTTAAGAGAGATGATGGAGCAACTTCTGAACAAGAAGAAGAAGAAGAAGAGAGCTCAACGTCCCTTACCCCGACGGACTGGGGACAAGGAGTGGGTACCTCCCCGCCGTCCGGCGACGGAAACGGAAGACAACAGTAATCCGCAGTCTGATTACTCTTCCAAGACGTCGCTAGGAACGTCACATACCGGTGATAGCACCCGTGACAAAAGGTTCGACGAGTTCTAAGTTCAACTCAACGCGCTGAAGCTTCAGCAAAACATGAATAAGCTGGGGGTGGTCCGTCCCTACCCTATCGAGTGGGACACGGTCCCATACCCAGCGAAGTTCAAACTGATCAGCCTGGTGCAGTTCGATGGCAAATGCTCTCCCTCGCAGCACATCTACTACTTCATGGCACAAACTGGGTTCCTTACAGGGAATGACGCCATTCTCACGCGACTATTCATCGGCACCCTAAAGGGGGTGGCTTTTGAGTGGTTCCGTAAGCTGGAACCCGGCACAATCAAGTCATGGGCCGATGTCGAGAGGCTCTTTTTGGCCCGCTTCTTCGACGACGACACGGAAGTGTCGATGGCCACCCTCCTAGCCAAAAAACAACGAAAGTCAGAGTCGGTCAACGACTTCGTGAAGAGATTCCGGAATCGGTCTGTCCATTGTCGGGACCAAGTCTCCGAGTCGACACTGATCGAGATGTGTCGTAACAACCTGTCGATCCACATCCTATCCAAAATATGCGTGGTGGAAACCCAGACATGGAAAGAGCTGGTGCGCCAGGGCGAGCAGGTAGAGAACATGATCAAGAGGCTAGAGGCCGAAGAGCCGCAGCCCAAGAAAGGGGCTGCAGAACCAGCCGTGCCAAAGAATCCCCCTCGGTCCAGAGGAAAAGAGATCATGGCCGTCGACTCTACCCATGCTCAGAGGCCGAAGCCTAGACAATTTGAACAACGCCCCCCGCGGAAATACGACTTCAAGGAAGATCAGGTGGTGGCAACGTTCGATACGCTGCTCAAGAGCGGTCGAATCAAACTGCCAGAAGCCGCGAAGCCTGAGGAGGCGGACAAAACCAGTGACCCAACCTACTGTGCTTATCACAGGTTCCTTGGTCACCACACAACCAAGTGCTACGTCCTCAAGGACAAGCTCCAGGCCCTCTACGATGCGGGGGTCTTGAAGAAGGAGAAGGTTCAAAAGCAGGTGACCACGAACATGATCACCTTGAGCTTTGGAACAAATCTCCCAGAGGTTCATGCTCCGGCGGGGGTGATTCCCATCCCCAAGGCGGTCTTGAAGATCACCAACGACGATCCTCACAACCAGCGAGGGAAGGGTTTGGTCCCGCAAACTCTGCCGTCAGGACAAGTGATGTGGGTCCATCCATACCTCCTCAACGATGAGCAATTGACCGCAAGGCCTTCGAAAGAGGCTAAGAGAAAACATTGCAATGTCGTCTCCGCCATCCTAGAGAGAGATAACACGGCGACAACTGCCCTGACCGACTCCGAAGAAGACACCAACGTCTTTGCCACAAGAGCAGGAAAGGAATTCGCGAAGGAATATCCCGCGAGGGTGGAGAACACGGCAAGACCTCCCGCGAGGCCAGCCGCGTCAACCCCTCCCAATCTAGATGCACCCAGCTCAAGCCACCAACCTTTCCGGTTCAACGTGCTTGCGCAGCTGAAAAGCATCCCCGCGCAAATCACCATGTACGACCTCCTTAGGCTATCCAGGACTACCCGGGAGGCCCTACAGGAGGCGTTGGCGGATTCAGAGGCATTCTCGACCCACTTCTCGAAAGAGACAGAGGCGGAACAGGAATGCGCGAATTGTTGCCAGGTCTCAGAGAGACGAGTCCCGTGCATTACTTTCACTCCTAAGGACATGCTCATCAAGAGTACATCCCATGATCGACCTCTGTACTTCACAGGATACGTCGGGTCAGCGAAAGTGGATCGGATCCAAGTCGACCCGGGTTCTGCGCTGAGCATCGTACCCCTGAAATTGATCAAGCACTTGGGGATACCACCAAAGCGTCTGTCCCCGACCACCACAACCATCTTTGGTTTCAACGCCACGGGGACGCGGCCGCTGGGTAAAATCCGCCTGAAATGCCGAATAGGCGACATGAAGACGAAGGTGACCTATTACGTCATCGATGCCGAGCCTTCCTACAACGTGCTCTTAGGACGCCCATGGATCCATGGCAATCGAATAGTCCCGTCCACACTTCACCAATGCTTAAAGTACGTAGACGACTACGAACGGGTGAAAACAGTAGTGGCCGACAGACAACCCTTCAAAGGCGTTGAGAATTACTTCACAGATTCTCTGCTGTATCAGGACCCCGTCGAACCGCCAGTTGAAGAACCCGGGAGCGGTAACGAGGCGGATAGCGAACCTGAGTACGGTGATAACCTAATACTTAACGACTTCGAGTCAATTGTAATCGGTTATGAGAGTCATCATGTAACCAACGCCGTTCAGGTAGAGAAGATTATCATGAATGAACAGTCCAACTTTGCTTATGTGTCGCCTTGTTCTACGTCTGAGGACAATGAACCCAACGACTAGTGGGCAAAATTCTGCGGTGATCCTTCCCTGCACACACCGGTATGCTCGTCATACGTCGCGAGAACGCGGCCGATTGAATCGTTGCGAGCTGTATTCGTTGTGCCAGCCCGAAATAATTATCGAAAAGATATTATCTTCGGTCGAGTTGATCACCCCTTGCGCACGCTATGGGATGAGTCTGATGACGAAGACCCAGCGCCCCAGTTTTCGCAGTACAGTCGCATTGCGAAATGCATGATGAGCGACATGGGGTATGACCTCACTCGTTTAGAGGGCCTGAATTACGACCGAGGATGCAAGACGGTCATCCAACCCGCTTACGTACCTAAAGGGAAGCCCTCAAATTACTTCAACAGGACTAGGAGAGGCTTAGGCTACTCCTCCTCCTCGTCGGATTTGTGTTTCTACGTCAACGAAGATTCCGACTATGCATGTTCAGGGGATCAATCGTCAGCAACCTCGGCGTGGGACTCAGATGTCAGCGTGAGGGATCTGTTCGATAGCCTCACAATCAACATGGCTACAATGGATCCCGCCGAAATGGCGGCGGATGGACAACTTCCACTTTATGACGAGACATGGGATCGTCATGTTAACGCTCAGTGGAGAAGTCGCTTCGAGCAGCGAGAACCACCGACTGAAGACGAAATCCTCCAGGTGAACATGGGCACTGAGGCGAATCCCAAACCCATATTCATTAGCGGCAGTCTGCCCTCTCAAGAAAAGGAAGATCTCATCGCCCTCATAAGGGAATACATCGACGTCTTCGCGTGGAATTACGAAGACATGCCCCGCCTGGATCCGCGGGTCGCTACGCATCGCCTTAACATCGGCTCAGACGCCAAACCAGTCAAACAACAGCAGAGGCGATTTCGCCCTCAGATCATGGAGGCAATAGAGGTCGAAGTGAAGAAGCTCATCGAATCCGGCTTCATCAAAGAGGAACAACACCCCGACTGGGTGGCGAATATCGTTCCGATCCTGAAGAAGAACGGTAAAATCCGTATCTGCATCGACTTCAGAGACCTCAACGCCGCGTGCCCAAAGGACGAATTTCCTCTGCCCATCACGGATGTCATCATCGAAAACACGTGCGTATTCGAGAGGATGTCCTTCATGGACGGTTTCTCGGGGTACAATCAAATCAAAATGCACCCCGAGGACGAGAAACACACTTCATTCAGGACTCCTATGGGGGTGTACTGCTACACCGTCATGCCCTTTGGACTCAAGAATGCCGGCACAACCTACCAACGCGCCATGAGCACGATCTTTCGAGAATACCTGCGAAAAGATGGTGGAGTGCTATGTGGACGATCTGGTGGTAAAGAGTCGCCGCAAGGGGGACCACCTCCAAGACTTGAGGACGATGTTCGAACTCATGGGGACTCATCAACTCAAGATGAATCCCACTGAGTCATTCCTAGGGATGGCTGGTGGTAAATTCCTCGGCTTCGTCGTCATGACGAAAGGGATCCGAATCGATCCGGACAAGGTGCAAGCCATCCAAGAGCTCCGACCACCCCGGAACCTCAAAGAATTAAGAGGTCTCCAGGGACGATTGGCTTACATCCGAAGGTTCATTTCAAACCTTTCGGGCAAATGTCAGCCATTCTCCAAGCTCATGAAGAAAGGCACTTCCTTCGTATGGGACGAGTCTTGCCAAAAGGCCTTTGAGGACATCAATGCTTACCTTTCGAATCCGCCAGTCCTCGTTGTGCCGATTTCAGGGAGACCATTCCTCATCTATATACGGGCTACGGAGCATTCTCTGGGTGCTCTCCTGGCACAAAATGATGACGCAGGCCATGAGCAAGGCATCTACTACCTAAGTAGGACCCTGCAAGGGGCTGAACAACGGTACCCGATGGTCGAAAAAGAATGCTTGGCCTTGGTATTCGCCATCCAATGCAAGGGGCTGAACAACGGTACCCGATGGTCGAAAAAGAATGCTTGGCCTTGGTATTCGCCATCCAAAAGATGCGACACTACCTGGTCGGCCAGACAATCCATGTCATCTCCCGGATGAACCCTATTCGAGTCTTCATGACGCAACCTGCAGCGCTAAATTGGCGTCTAGCCAGGTGGGCACTTCTGCTCTCCCAATACGACATCCACTTTATGCCACAAAAATCCGTCAAAGGACAGGCCATCTGCGATCTCATGGCCAGTCATCCACTGGGGTCAAAGACCGACCTGTTCGAAGATTTGCCAGATGAACCGCCTGAAGTCAACGTAACTTCGTTACCGGAGTTATGGCAGATGTTCTTCGACGGCGCGTCTCGCGCAGCTGCGGCAGCTGCGGACGGCTCCATTGTTGTGGGAGTGGGGGTAGTCCTCACTTCTCCACATAACCACGTGCTGCCCCGAGCCTTCTCTTTGACAGAGCCATGCACCAACAGCGTGGCCGAGTACAACGCATTACTCATTGGACTCGAGCTAGCAAAAGAGCTAGGGATAAAGCATCTCGAGGCTTACGGCGATTCCCAACTTATCGTCAAACAGATGACCGGCGAATACGAAGTTAGGAACGATGACTTAATCCTACTCCACAAGGCGGCTGTCCTCCTAGTGGAATCATTCGAGAGCTTCCGCATTGAGCACGTGCTACGTTCCAAGAACACACATGCGGATGCCCTCGCTTCACTGGCGGCCAACTTGGTTCAACCATTCGGGACAACCAAATGGGTGATAGTGGCGAGCAAGAAGCTCTTTCGACTGAAGGATGCTCCAGAAGCGAACGCCACCCATTAAGTCTCAGATCAGACTAATTCGGAGGACTGGCGCCTCCCGATCATCGATTACGTCCTTTACGGCGTATTGCCCGAAGATGCAAAGGAGCGAGAGTCTGTCCGAAGACGCGCCACGAGATTCTACTATGATTCGACCACCAAGACGCTATATCGAAGATCTTACGACGGCTTGTTGCTCCAATGCCTTTCAAAAGCGGAGGCACAAGAGGCTCTGCGCGAGGCCCACAACGGCGTTTGAGGAGCTCACCAGCCCGGACCCAAACTTTGGGATCGCCTGCGAAGGATAGGCTATTTCTGGCCTGGGATGGTTCACGATGCAGTCGTCTACGCCAAGCGCTGCCATGAGTGCCAAATCCACGCCAGTTACATGCATCAGCCGCCAGAGGACCTACACCCGACAAAGGCTTCCTGGCCCTTCGAAGCATGGGGGATGGACATAGTTGGCCCAATATCCCCGCCGTCGGTGAAAGGGCATCGCTTCATCCTCGCAATCACTGACTACTTTTCTAAATGGGCAGAGGCCATCCCTTTAAGAGAAGTCAAGACTAATGATGTGGTGAAATTCATCAAACACCATGTCATCTACCGATACGGCGTACCCCGACGTATCATTCACGACAATGGCACGCAATTTGTTAGCCATGCGTTCACCAGGTTCTGCGACAAGTTCCGAATACAGAACCTCTCTTCCACGGCCTATAACCCATCGGCGAATGGTTTGGCCGAGGCCTTCAACAAAACAATCATCAAGATATTGACCAAGTAACGTCCACCAGCAAGCGCGATTGGAACGAAAAACTTGGCGAAAGCTTGTGGGCATATCGCACAACGATTCGCACACCGACTAGCCATACGCCCTACTCATTGGTATACGGCTGCGAGGCCGTGTTGCCATTAGAAATTCAGATCCCGTCCCTCCGCGTCGCATTGGCAACGGGGATGACGGTGGAGGACAATCACCGACAACGACTCGCCGAGCTTGAAGCGCTGGACGGCAAACGATTAGAAGCTCAACAGCACATTGAGTTCTACCAAGCCCGGATGGCTAAGGCTTTCGACAAGAAAGTCAGGCGCCGAGCCTTCAAAGAAGGGGAGCTGGTACTGGCCGTTCGCCGACTAATGATTCTCACCTCCAAGAAGAAAGGCAAATTTCAATCCAAATGGGAAGGGCCATTCGTAATAGAAATAGTCTATTCGAATGGAGCTTATCGCCTTGTCAAGCCAAACGGCGACAAGATCATGATGCCTATCAACGGCAAATACTTGAAGAAGTACTACCCTTAGTTCTTCTTCACCAACTCCCATGAGTGCATGAGTCTAAACCGGCCCTCAGACCCTCCAACTGGTATACGAGACTAAACTATCCCTACTTTACCCACTCTGGCGATAGACCACACTCAGAGTTTAATTCGCCAATCTTTTTCAATAAGATGGCGGATCCACTAAAGTCACTCATATCGTGACAGACAGAGTTCAATTCGCCAATCTTCTCCAATAAGATGGCAGATCCACTAAAGTCGCTCATATCGCGACAGACTCAATTCAATTCGCCATTCTTCCCCAATAAAATGGCGGGTTCACCAAAGTCGCTCATATCGCGACAGACTCAATTCAATTCGCCATTCTTCCCCAATAAGATGGCAGATTCACCAAAGTCGCTCATATCGCGGCAGACAACTCGGTTATGTTAACTATCACCTCTAACCGAACCGACTTATCAGTCTCCCTCAACGAGATGGTAAGACCCCATAGTTGCTCCGAGCGCAACAAGGCTTCATCCGGTTAATGATTACCTCCGATGACTGGCGCCGCTATTCCTACGAATAGCATAGCCTAAGTGATAACCTACCACGCGACGTGTTATTGCTTTGGTCGATAGTCACACTCCTACATCCCTGAACTATTTGACCTATTCCAGCTATCCTAATATTCCCTTAGGGTAACTGATGGGTAGCAGCCTACCACGCGAGGGCTCCTACAACGATCGATCGTCATATTCCTACATCCCTGAACGACTCGATTATCACCGGCGTCATCACCCTCGCAGGCGATGATAGCTATCAAGGGCGGCTCGACAGGCGTCACGCCCGACAGTGCCTCCAAATGACAACCCACCGAGTGGCG